TGCCAGACCGCCGTTCCTGCAGACGTGATGTAAGTGTAAGGCATCACCACCAATTGCATGGTCAGCACGGCCAATTGGCCGCAGAGCGTGTCATGAGTCTACCGCTCACCTCAAGGGAATGGGGTCCCACGTTGCGCGGCTTTCGGCCGCAGCCTTGAGAGCCTCCTCAGATTCTCCCTCCAGCTACCACCCGCATGAGGTCAACACATATGCTCCACCAACCAATACAATGGCAGATATAGCCAATAGGCAGTTATAAGATAATATTAATAATTCGCCATCAGAACGGGTTTGTGTCACTGACGTTGAGTATATGCATTTTTCGATCATGTTTGTCTCACCCACCAACAAGTTGCCTTCAATCTCTCAAAGGTGGGAACTTTATAGAGATATATTATTAAGTTGTTATATAAAACATCATGGAGGGCAGACAGTCTGCAGCCCCGCAATGAAGGGACCCGACTTGGGCAAAGCTACTTAGGTTGTGAGTCAAACCAAGACGCAGAGAGCGCCATTGAGAATAGCGACCCGCCAAACAACCGTCGTAGAGACGCAATGCTACAGAATGCAACAAGCATCAATACGACTATCGTCGGGCTTACACCATCCCAAGGTCCCCCATACAGTCCCAGCAGACATCACCACCCGCATACCTCCATCGACCAGAACCACAAGATGCATCGAATCAGGTGCAGCACACCCGCAGATCCATCACAAGACACAATACTGCAAGTAGCAGTAAGCATCAATGCAACTATCATACGGATGGCGCCCCCTCACAACACACCCACATGATCCCTATCGACTTTGGTAACAAAATTTGATAATGTTGTTAACTAAAAATACCACCAACGTATCATAGTAGCACGGTACTAAGACGTCAGTAGCCAATACTCCACGTATCATAGCGCTATTGCACTAAGACATGAAGTTGAGTATGCTTGCTGCACTTAAAAGTACTACCAAACACACTCACCCAAATCCGAAAGATAGCCGACGTATCATAACGCTATGCGCTAAGACGCCGCCCACAACCGGTAGGGGTGTGCGATGTCCACGGGCAAGTCGTATTGCTACAACAAACCCGCTTACCACCGGCACTAAGATGATATGTCTAGGACACATCGGTTAGTGAGTCCAAGTTTACCTCGGTCTCAGAGGCTGCGAAGCAACCTACACGCCACTATAATAATCCTTTTCAAGTCCCATTTCTTTCAATATAATGCTTTTACATATTTGAGACCTTCCACATATTTGCTTTATTTCATAGACCATACTACTGTATGTCTTATTCATATGGGACTTCAAGTCATAACTCTGCTATCATAATGCTTATGCATCATAGAGACCTTCTATATTAATGCTTTGGTTCGTCAGACCTTACTATGTTAAGTCCCTAATATAGGACTAGTCATTGTGCAACCTTAGTACTAGCAGTCGGTCAGCCGACCACCCCATATATATGTACAACCTTGGGTATGTGTCTCCGACAACGCCCCAATATAAGGGAACATTACAAGAACACGTTCATTAACTTAGAAATTTTCCAATTATTACACGAACACCTTCATCAACTTAGAAAATTTTAATCCATTTTTTCTATTATATTACAAATGTTATTTATCTTTGTTATTGCAATATAATCGCCTTGTATTTATATGATTTGATATATTTTAAACATTTTAAGCAGGTTTTTTAATAAATTTAGAGATTTTTAGAGACATTTTATGCGTTTACTAATATATATAACATTCAATATTCCAAATGGATATTTTTGAACTCTATGCTTATTATTTGCATTTTATTGTTTAAATTATAATTTCTATGACTTTTTTTAAATGTCTGTATAATGAATTTAATTATTATTTATTAATAATAATTATGAGGCGTCACAGTATGTTGAGATCATAGAGATCGAGATCGGTTGAGGTCGGTATTCGATACGCTGCTCTTTCTACCGCCTTTGCAAAATTACTCGAAGGAAATTATTTTTCACAAATTTTGTTTTTGTATACCTATACAAAGATTTAGATGTATAAATTAAAAAATATTTAAGTGACAGGCTGTAAAAACACTGTTAAAAAACAGTTATATTAATTTAGGAGTAATATTAGAACAGCAAAAAAACCCCAGATCGATATTTCATGATTCGAATCAAACGACTACGCACTCCAAATTATGGTCAGTGAATGTTATGCTCCGCTACACTCACTATACGAAGCACAGCAGCATTAACCTGCTATTTTACGCTGATATTTCGTGAGTCCTCGATCGAGCCGACTGATTCGTGCTACAACCATAATCTAGCTGCAACTCAGCTCTACTTCGTGAAAAATCCTCTTTAACTAATATAAAATTATGAATACACAATACCTAAATATCTGGCCGAAACTTTGACATGTTTGTCAAAATGGCGGCCAGATCTTCGATTACAAACTCATCAAGGAGTATTAAATAGTTATATTAATACAAAATTACGTATGTAATGACAGAAAAAATTATATTTCCAGTGTATTAACGCAGACGACCTAAACTTTACTCCAATTTTATGTCTTCCATGGTCATTTTTTTTCGCCCCTTTTTACGCCTCACTGAAACAAGTTTACGGATAACTGATTCAGGTTACAAAAACGAGTTGAAATAATGGATCGTATTCTGATATTAGTTAAGAGAAATGAATACTTTGGTCCGATTATTTTTAAATTAGAAAAGTATTTAAAAACTTAACAGTTCTATAAGTGTTGGTGTATACCGACTTTTAAATCTACATCGCCTAAGTCATAATTTTTCGTATGAGAAACCAAATTTGTTTTTGGTATACTTCTGTAAATGTCTCTTGGGCAGTTATCAATAAATTATGTATAATAAATAATAATACGTCCTATTTTTTTCTTTTTCTTTTAGTATATATCATAAATATTTGTAATTAAGTATGTTTTAAATATACTGCTCGGGGTGTCAAATTTTGTCGAGTTGACACCAACAACCACTAATATAGTACATAACATAAATAAAATGTCACGCCTGTTACTCAGAGGGGTAGGCAGAAACTACGGACTTCCACTTAACACGATCCTGACACACCTCTCGCTTTTTTCACATCCATATATCTACATATACATACATGCTCATTGGTAAAGGGTACACTTAACTTGGCTTTTTTCAATATATCGCCTATTTGGTCGATAAACTTCCGTTCCGGCTTTCCTTGCCGACCCTACCACGTACTTCTACTGCATACATTTGTCGTGTCCCTCTTTGTCACTCTTAATACAGGTACACGCACAAAATCTACTTTGATAATAACAAATGATAATGTTATTTATTATTACAAATACATATTTACGATCAAAAATTAATCATATTATTTTCATAGATCTATAGACAAATACTTTAAATATATTTTAAGTATATTTAAAATATATTCACATCATAAGCAGATTTTTATTTGGGAACAAAATTGTGTTCACAGTATTATCATGTTTATTTTTTTAAAGAAATAACAAAATGCACAGCCGTTAGTCCCTTCCCGTTCAATATAAAAGTTATTTGGGGTTCGAGCATAGAGAATAAACCTACTTACCCCTTTTCTCCGTACTTTAGAACTTCCTCTTCTTAGGACGATGTTGTTAATCCCGAGGAACTGTGTACTTTATGTAAGATTACTTTCTTTATCTTTATACTTGATAAAATTCATATTATAAGTATACTTTTCTTGTTTAAGCAAATACTACATCGTATTGTACATTTAGCGCATTCACATCATTTCTCAAATTGCTTATTTTATAATGATTTGTTATATTTAGACGAACACTACACATTTAAATAAAACCAGTTTTACAGATTTTTTCGCGTATATTAACCTATGTTATATTGCCAAAGTTTCGAACATTTTAAAGCACCCATGGCCACGGTGGGGACTGAGGTGTTTGTCGTCATGTAATTCTTTGTTGTCTCAGAACTAATGAATAGGAGTTTTGATGTTATAAACCATATATTATTACATCTGTCATTTTGTTTGTTCAAATGTCAAAAAAATCAAAAAAAATCAAAACCTTGTATGTGTTATACTTAGGAATTACAGGAATTAATTGAGTAGAAAATAAAATTGTGGTCATCACTGTCCCTGAACGGTGTGAGCAGTATCCTCATACGAGCATTGCAATCTCCTTATAGAGATTCTCGTGCTTATGTAATGATAAACAGGGTATACACTGAATGGTTTAATATTGAAAAAGGCGTTGAAAAGAAACATGGTGAATGGAGCTTTGCACTCCTTTATGAGCAGACGGAAGTTGTCTAACAAGGGTTGTTTGGCTGTGCATGAGGGGGTGTTGGTTCCGACACTCATGTATAAAAGTGAAAGTTGGGTATGGCAGAAGAAACATGAAAGCAGAATAAATGCAGTCGAGATGAGAGCGTTAAGAAGTATGATAGGAGTTAAATTGAGTGACACGATAAGAAATAGTGAAATAAGGAAACGTTGTGGTCTGAAAGAACATGTAGTGATAAAAATTGAGAAAGGTATGTGTAGAATAAAACACTCGATTTTTCCACGTCTATTCACAAGCCTTGCCTAACCGTCTACACAACTTTTACATATCTCTCTTATAAGTAAATCCACCTATCCTACAAACTATACAATATATTACACCTTCCCTCTTAGTTTAATAAAATAACAAGTTTTCTTATAATATAACATTACAATATACATAAAGTAACAAAAAAGTACAATGTATAACTTAACATAAAAACAGTAATAACAGGGTACACTTAATAATTAACTTATAGTGATTAATCAAATTCTGGAAACCGTATTGGTGTTTTCCTATTTCTTAGGGGGTAGCGGCGTGTCAGTCCGGGCGTACAACTTTGTGGTTGTGTGGTATTAATAATATCTGGCGTTGTCGTACTCAGCTGGACTCCTGCACCCTCCTCTATCGAGCCTGTTGACTGCTCCGAGACCTCGCCTGGTTTATTGCTCTACCTGGACATTGCATCTAAAATGGGTTAAATGAACTGCGCCTGCATTTTTCACTATGTATGGGCGTGTCATTCAAAGCAACATTAAATGCATGTCTTAATTGGTCTGCGTGTCTATGGTGTACGATTCCGTCGATACCTAAAATTTCATAATTCGTATTTCCTACCTTAAACTGAATTTTACCCTCTAACCATTTCCTTCTCGCGCCATAGTTACGGTACCAAATTGTGTCCCCTTCCCTAAAATTCCGACGCAAGCCGCCTGATGCTAACTGCTGACGTTTCTGTGAGGTGTGAACGCGATCTGCTCGTTCGGGTTTTAAGCAGTCAAGTCGCATACGTAACGCGCGGCCTTGTAATAATTTTGCTGGACTCTCTCCCTTGGTACAGTGTTCAGTATTTCTATATACCAAAAGAAATCTTAGAAGCGCAACGTCCACGTCTAATTTCTGTGATATAGCCTTTTTAATTACGTTTTTGCAGGTTTTAACTGCATTTTCAGTTGCTCCGTTGGATGAAGAATGATACGGTGCTGAATACGTGTGTTCTATCCCGTTAGTCACTAAAAATTGTTTAAATTCTGAACTCGTGGAGGGTGGGTCATTATCTGAAACTAATTGTTTTGGTAAATCAAACCAAACCCCTAATACTCTTAATGCTTTAGTCACTGATATGGAATTAGTAAAATTCATTTTAATTACTTCCAACCATTAGAGCAAGCGTCTATGGCCACCATGTAAACGTTCTCTGCGGGCCGAAATAGTCTAAATGTAAGCGAGACCAAGGCAGATCCAGCCAAGGCCACGGGTGGATGGCGTGGACCGGCGGTAAATCCGCCGTCTCTGCACACACTCGACATAACCGACTTAACTTTTCTATTTCTTCATCTATACCCGGCCATCATGCATAGCTACGTGCTAAGCTTTTAGTTTTAACCATACCCATGTGAAAGTCGTGTAAGTCTTTTAAAACTTTTGCCCTACAGGCGCTAGGAATTACCACCCGGTGACCCCACATTATACAACCTAGTTCCGAATAAAGTTCGTTTTTTCTATTTAAATATGGTTTTAATTCTTTAATATCAACTTAAGATGGCCAGCCATCTCTTATGTAACTTATGACTCTGCTTAAAATAGGATCGTGTACGGTTTCCTTTTTAAGTGAATTATAATCTAAAAGCAATGCTTCAGATGCAAAATGCAAATATGTTTGTTCCGGCACATCACATTATTCAGAAAAACCAGTTTCTTTATAAGTTTTTATTATACGAGATAACGCGTCGGCTGTATTGCGATCCGTACTTATAAATTTAATTGTAAAACTCTATGACGACACTATTAATGCCCATCGCTGCAATATACTAGCAGTCATTTTAGGAATACTATGGCCCGGGTCGAAAATGCTTACTAAAGGCTTATGATCAGTTCGCAGTATAAACGGGCAGCCATACAGATATTGGTGAAACTTTTTGATTGCAAATACAATTGCTAATTCCTCTTTTTCTATTTGACTATAGTTTATTTCAGCGGAAGTGAATGCTCGTGAAGCATACGCGACAGGGCGCTCATGCTCGCCCCGCCTCTGCGCCAGCACCGCGCCCATTCCGTGCGCACTGGCATCGCACGTCACCACCAGTAAGTAGAAGATATAATAGTACTATTATTAATAAATGCACGCTGCCAAATGTGATTATTAATGGCACATCAATTGATTATTCGGAATCTGCGAAGAACTTGGGCCTAATTATTGACAATAATTTATCATGGCGTGCTCATATAACGACTTAAGCAGAAAAGTTCATTATGCTTTTCACTCGTTAAAATGACTTCACAGTTTTTTACCCTTATCAACTAAAATCTCTCTTGTTCGAACTCTCATTTTGCCAATCTTAGATTACGCTGATGTCTAGTTTTCGGATGATACAGAGGAGTAATTAAAGAAATTTGAGCGATTGCAAAACCTTTGCATTCGGTATATTTTGGACTCAAGAAGTTTGATCACGTCTCTAAATACAAAAAGCAGCTCAAGTGGCTCTTGATCAGATTTTGCAGGAACACTCGTATCCTTTGTCTTATTTTTAACATCTTACATAGTTCGAATTTCCCTTCATACCTTCGTAATCGATTTACCTTTTTTTAAATCTCCAGATGCAGTTTGTAGATCTCACCTTAAAACCCTCTTAAAATTCCCATCCTTTAAAACTCTTTCATATTACATACATACATCACTCACCTTCGATTTGCCGACGATATAGTCCTTATGGCAGAATCGCTGGAGGACCTAAGCACAATGCTCAATGACCTCAATAGTGTTTCCCAACGGATAGGTCTTAAGATGAACATTGACAAAACAAAGATCATGTTTAATGTCCATATCACACCTATGTCGGTAGTTATTGGGAACACTAAGCTCGAAGTTGTTGACGAGTATGTTTACCTGGGACAAATAGTCCGACTAGGTAAGTCCAACTTCGACCAAGAGGTCAATCGACGGATTCAACTCGGTTGGGCAGCGTTCGGGAAATTACGGCACATCTTCTTGTCAGGTATACCTCAAAACTTGAAAACAAGACTGTACACCCAGTGCGTGTTGCCAGTGATGACATACGCAACTGAGACGTGGTCCTTCACTGCTGGCCGGATGAGGAAGCTCAAGGAGCTATGGAGAGGGCTATGCTCGGAGTTTCTCTGCGTGGTAAACTCAGAAATGAGGATATCCACAGTAGAACCAGAGTGACCGACATAGCCCAACGGATTAGTAAGCTGAAGTGGAAATGGGCCGGCCATATAGCTCGAAGAACCGACAACCGATGGGGAAGAAAGGTTCTTGAGTGGCAGCCTCGTACCGGCAGGCGAAGTGTAGGGCGTCCCCCCACTAGATGGAGTGACGACCTGGTAAGATATGCAGGAAGTCGATGGATGCAGGTGGCTCAGGACCGTGCTTTGTGGCATTCTTTGGGGGACGCCTATGTTCAGCAGTGGACTTGTGAAGGGCTGTAATGATGATGATGATGATGATGATGATTTTGTTATGACTAATATATGTATGAGTGTTATTATGAGATTAGTAGCGCCCTTGTACAAACTCTTCATCATGTTGTGTCCTTTCCGTTGTTTGTGTGTACATAAATTGTTAAGTAAATACCTATGATGCATCGACGAGTTAGCAGAGAGTATATTATCGATAGCTATCATTTCTTCTTGTTGTTGTTCTTCGTTAGTCTTTAGAAGTTCACCGCTGGTCATGAGCTTTAGCGTCACGCTTAACAGGCAGATTGATGAAAGCAGTACCAGACATCTCGCACATTTGCGGCTACTTCCCATTATCGATTTTTGTAAAATGGGGGTGATGAACTCTTTTTTGAGGCTATCGCATGGAAAAATGTAGTTTTTCATATTCAGCTGTTGTTAAGATAATGCACGCATATTAATTAAGATCGACGCAAAAGTCGGTATAACTTTATATCTTTCCAAGTGACGAAAAAAATATTATGTTAATATAAATTATCATAATAACTTCCGTCCTACATTACAAAAATTATTTCCCATGCCTCATTTATATTCAAAGACGGCCTACCTGACCTCAGGGTAGCAGTACATTCGGCTATTTTATTATTCTAAAATTTTTGCCTTGTATTTATGACTTTGTATTTAATACCGAGTGTGATATAGCGTAATATATGTACACAAGGTAATGAAAACAGCAATAGTATATTTATCTAACTTATTATAACTTAACCTTGATAGCCGCGTGGATTAGTTTTTAAAGTACATTATTTCTCGGTTCGAACAAATTTGGAGTTAAAATTTATATAAATCAAAAACATATACGCAATATTTCAGGTCAGTAGTGCTACTGTGTTAATATAGTAATTTTCCATAAAACTGAAATGACAAACGAACTGTCAATCCACCTGATAGTAAGTGGCTACTGCAACCCATAGACACAACTTCAAACAAAGACGGCTACAGATGCGCTGTCACTTTTAGGACTAAGATGGAATGCCTCACAGCCTGTAATTTAACGGCTTTCTATTAACAACCTTCAGACCAGAATAAAGCAATGCAAGCACCTCTATTTGGCACAAAAATGTATAAGAGAAACTGAAAAAGGTTATAGTCAGGCGGAACTGGGGTAACTCTGGTGGAAATCGTGGTGGGCTTCGTTTTGATATTTGACGTTTGGTTTCTTTGTATTTTGTAAATATTATAAGTGTCGACGTCTTTATAGTGTGAATATCTTATTTTAGTTTACAAATATTATCATTATCAAATATAACCAGTAAATAACCAATTGCGAAGTAATTCCTACATAATGACACTGCTGGTCGTAATTGTCACAATGTCGCGGACATTTTATTTTAGCCTTCCTAAAATATATCGCATACGTATAACTCGGGAGTATATGAGAGCAAGTCTTTAGTATATCAGCGTGTACCTATTTCATGTCCTACACAGCTGATGATTTTCAAGTTTCAGTGTTAATTAGAAGGAAGATTGCTGTAATCATGCAAAAGACTACAAATTACATCCCAAGCAGCACACAAGCGTTATAAACATCAATATACGAGCCGACATAGAACTTAGAGTGCTTTTAGAAGCATATAAGAGTGTCGAAAAGAGGTTGTGTCCTTATAAGAGTGTATTATGAGTTATTATACAGCTCGAGCTGTATTAAGTCTGTATTACGGGATCAAAGTAAGCTTCTTAAACCGAATATGAAAACTCTAGTATAAATGTTTAAGTATTTTGTAACAATGGACTTAATTTGTTTTTTTTTTATTGGATAAGGGTGACAAACGAGCACACAGTCCACCTGATGGTAAGTGGTTGCTATGGCCCATAGACATCTACATCTATCTTCGATTACGAATCAAAATGCAGATTCCTTGTCACCCGTGAGGACTAACATGGAATGCCTCTTTTCCAGTAAAAAGGGTCTCCAGGTCTCCAGTCTGCTATTTTACGCTGGTATTCTGTGAGAGCGTGGTCTTTCCCCGGTCGAGCCGACCCATTCGTGCTACAACCATAATATAGCTGCAGCATGGCTCTACCACGTATATCAAAATTATCAATATGTGGAAAAAAGACAAAGATTTGGCGTAGTTAGAAAATAATGTTAAATCTAAATAAAAGTTAACCAACTAAATAAAAGTTATGTTATGTTGAAAAAAAGATATGCAGCGTAAGTAATAAAAATATTCTATTATACAACTGATTAAAAACCAAGGTCTGCATGATAGAATCCATAATATACATAATACAGCTACTAAGACTACTTAGACTACTAACGAGAGTCAGTATTACAGCCTAAGTACCGTTTAGGCTGTTTAGCAAATTGTCGGCATTTTAGGACCCATAAAAACAAAATTTAAAATATAATTTTAGGAATATAAGACATTAGGTCTTTGGGGCACAGTTGTCATTGGGCTAATGATAACTGTGCTCTAATGTGCCTTCATATCCATATTTTTTATTCTAACCTATACCTAAAACCGATATTTAGTAACAGTAATTAGTATTTAGTAATCCGTTGGGCTATGTCAGTCAATATAGTTCTACTACGGATATCCTCATTTTTAAGTTTATCACGTAGAGAAACCCCGAGAATAGCCCTCTCCATAGCTCGCCGAGCAACCTTGAGCTTCCTCATACGGCCAACAGTGAAGAACTACGTCTCAGATCCATAAGTC